TGAAAGTTTGCATAGATTGAATTTAAGAATTATGACAATGAAGTACTTAGAAATCAGAAGTAATCTTATCAGATCATTTCATATATATGATCCTTCTATTTTATTGAAAAAAACATCAATTATTTTGGTTAACAACGTGGAGACCTTAGTTTGACTGATATGCTATCTAAGATTCTAGAGTCTTTAGTCATCCTACTCCTGACCGGAGCTCGGAAACAGTGAAATCAATGAAAGCAGGCGAATTCTAGTTACGGATGAACGCGCACTAAGAAAATTTTAACCCTCTGATATTTTTGGAGGGTACAAGTATAACCATACCCTGCACTTAACATTTTCTTGATGTATGTAACTTTAATTACCTCCATCATTTCAAAGATTGGCCTGATAATCAGAAAGCCACTGGTTGACTTACAGTTCACAGAAGATATAGATAGTTTTGATTAACTTGCTGATAAAACATTGTGTTTCTGAAGCCTTCAGATAAAGTTCTGAGCGTGTTTAGCATGTGATTTGCATCCGTCAAATGTAAGATGAAAGAATGGTGTACATCATTCCCCAGTTTGAATATAATGAATAAAGTGGTTCATTATGTCAGTGATGATGAAACAATGACAACTTCTCGTAAATTAAAAAGTGATTCAAAAAAGTAAGTACATGTACGTTTAGAATATTTCCTGAATACGCAATTTGCGAAATAGTAAAAGCGCAGAATAAAAAAGAAATATCTTCCTGAGTTAACATCAGTCTGCTGGAACAGCTTAGCCAATAAAATTATGTCTTTGCAAATTGGTTGATTGGATTTAGAAACATAGAGTAAAATTTCCCACTCATTCAGTCTTACAAAGTATATTTTAACTGACATGTTTTAATGTTCCCCTATCATGGATTGGAATCAGTAGCTGTATACCTCGTCAAAGGTACTTCACAACTTCGACAAAGGAAGAAGCGATAACAGAATAAGGAGTAGGATGCCTGAAGCTATTCGACGAGAGGGCTCGAACCTAGGTGTTTATTTCTTTTTGTATTGATCGCGAAGTTACATCTGCAAAATCGAACTGGTTCCATCGCAATCTTCAGATACTTACCTTGATTGCCATACTGTGAGCTTAGTTGATGAAATACTTCAGTATCAAGAAGTGGGCCGTTTATCAGGAACATCTTTACAAAGACTCTAATCAAAATAAAATCTCAGGACAACTGTGTAAATCAAGACTTAGCAATGAACTTTACTCATGTATTGTATATAAATTCAGAGAATAACGAATGGCTTATTGGTACTCACTATATGATTAACTAAACCAGAAACAGCTTGTATCTCCTAGCGGTCCTTGATTTAGTACTTTAATCCGTTGACTGAAAAGAAGTGAGCTTGTATATGGCTTTATAAAAAGTACAGAAGTATATTAATTTAATCAGAGATCTCAACCTGAACTGACACAGCAGTATAAGCCCTAATGCAGTGTCATCTGAGTTAATGACAACCAGTGGAGTCTGCCAAGTACGTCAACTGTCACTTTTGTCTAACTTTCTCAAATACATTCTAGTGAATTTTACCCTTTGCAAACCTGAATTACCATTTTGAAGGTAGGTGGCTTGCTTAGAGTCTGTAGAAGACAAAGTTTTATAGTCAAAAACGTTGGAAAAATGCAACATTTCACATAAACTTTGAGCAAAAATGAGTATATTTGGAATACTCTTCATACTTGTCGAATGTAAGATGAAATTTCAGGACTGGTCTGCATTTTTAGTTTGAGGATGGAGAGTAGTGTTGGAATGCACTAAGTACCACATAGATTGGTTGTTTACAAAATAGTGGAAACAACACAAAAGATCTGATTGGCATTCGCCAAACCACTTCAGCAAAATATCTTATTACCCATTAAAAGATAGGCGCATTGTGCAACACTTCACACAGTCTTTCTCTACGGATATCATAGTTTACGAAATCCGAAGACATGAGATAGCTACAGGCTTTTGATCAAAGATGTCTTCATATTACAACTCACCACCATTCCGGCAGTATTGCAGCTAGGTATATATTACTAGACTAGGAGAATTATTCATTTGATGAAGTCCTACACTTGAAGTAAATGAATGAATCAGGCTGGACACGTGTCCTGCATGCCAAGCCACTGACTTTTATGCCGCACGGTGTTAGCCGAAGTAGAGTTAAGTAGGCGAAGAGTCTGGATCAGTTCATGAAGTCTGTGATTTTTGCTCCTAGGTGCAGTGAATAGTGTCAAATCCTTGGGTGCACTCGTCTAAATGAATGAAATCACTGGTTGTAGAATCTCGGTGATATCTTTAAAGTCTATCACAACAGAGTAGACCTATACACTCTGTCACATTTGCAGTTCCAAGCATTTTCACTAACGTTCATTTAATTATTCTTTCTTATTTTATGCACTCTGTCTTCTTTGATATGAGTTATTTCTATCCACCTCTTCATTTCATGCTGCTGTAAATTGCGGCAACTGGAACCAGTACACTTCTGTTTGACGTTCTACTTTTATTTGTATGCCTCTTGTGATCCTCTATAAAGTTCTTATGCTTCTGCCATTCAACTACAGGTACAAGTTTCTTTGAAGATGCCCAGATTATAATTACTGATATTTGTTTCCTCAGCTTGTTAGGAGATATATTATTTTTATTCATTGTTAAAATCCCTAACTCAATTACAACAGCACACCGAGGTATTTAGCATTATCTTCTCCTACCAACAGAAATTAGCTAGTCACCTTAGTAAAATTTGAGTAAAATGTTACAAATAATTAAGTATTCTACTATATATTTTGATAATTATAAGAGTAATGCAGACAAACAGACAAAATCGAAGTATAACCTCGCACTCGAGTGCATCCATTCAGGTTGACACACTTAACGGTAGTACAGAATGAACAAGTGGATAGCAAAAGACTGATTTCAGAGTAGGCATAGTTGCGTGTGAGAATAGCAAGGCAAAGGTTAATACAAACATCCAGGCTTTAGATGTCAAGACTTGAACACATCCGCGCCATTGTGACCAATTCTCAACCCTGTCACCAACAATCCTCAACCACTGATTCCTATTTTCTCGAGGACTCCAGTCAGGCAGTCTACACCTCCCAACAGTAAAAGACGTCATGCCCTGATGTCGCATCTTGGTCAAACCACTCTGAGCCTTTCTCCACCCCAACTCGATTTCTGGCATCGTACGTTGAGGTAGGTAATGGCTCAGCGTGTGCACTACATGGCTTATCCACCTCAGTGATTGACTTATCTGCCTTACCTGGTACCCCTCGTTTGGGTATTACGTAAGGTCTGATAACCTTTTTAGATTATGGTTTACTGTCTCAAAAAATTAAAACTATCCAAGGAATTTTTTAACGATCTATGCAGTTAAGACGAAACTATGGAATAAATATGAAATCAACTTATGCTGCAAGTATTTTTATTCTTTCTCTGAGAAAAACTGTCGAGTTAACACGTTGTGCAAGATCTTTAGACATATCAAACAATAGTCTACCGATCATCTACCGTATTCAGGAATTAGACGTAAATATGCATAAATCCTATACTTCATTATGAAGTGGGTTAGAAACAGCACCGAAAACAGCTTTTCGTATAGCACAGATCAAATAAATTTAAAAGTTTTTTCTGAAATAGCGGAAAAGATTAGTAGGTTAAAGTGAAAATGGCAATGATTCAGTGTTTTCTTATTTTTATTACTCGAAACACAATAAAACGTCACAGCTTGGAGAAAATCATACCGTTATCATCCTAATCATGAAGTGCAAATAATTCATGCTATTTCAAAATCTTTTGAGTGCTGGGTGCTTCAATATTTTCAAAAACCACAGATCTTCACTGGCCCGAAAGCTTTCACTTGCAAAGGACTTTCCTCTCTAAATACATTTTTATGATGTAGTGAAATTCAGGATTAAACAATTTCCCACCTAACATAGTGCTAGCTTTAAAAAACTTATAAGCTACGAAAGCTTTATTTCTAAAATTTTGGTGCTCTTGTCGAAATATCGAAATGTGGAATGAGCTAGTCTGCATTCAAGAACCAGTTGGAATTTTTATGTTTCTGTAGACACAGACATTAAGAATCACCCACCCAACTGGCAAACAATCAAACAAATCAATAATCAGACATTAGATCAATAGCATGGGCCAAACGAGAGTAGCAATTATAAGGATTAACCTCTGATTAAAAAATAGGACAGGTCACTCCTACTCAAGTTTGGAAAATATCCTTCAAGAACGATAATGCTATTCAAAAATGCTTTATTTCTATACGAAGTCGATGTTAACGAATTCGCCTAGCCTGGTGTTAAAATTTCCAAGGATAAACCTCAATTCTTGTAGAACACTAAACAATCATTATCCTCATTCTGAGCTAAAAATCTTATCTACAACCTCAAGCACATTAAAAGGTCAAACCTTCGAGACTATTCCATATCAATTGTAAGTCACCTGTAACTGCTACTCACTAAACTTGTTAACCACCAGGTTTCATAATTTCTTGATGATCTAGTTGAGACGATTTTTTGAGGTAACTGATTCATACAAAAGTCGGTTTTTCAGCTCATTTTCGAACATGTTCATTTAACTTCTATTCAGTACACTTATACATCATATAACATCACATCATAACATAAATACATCATATCAGTACACGTATACCATTGTATACTTATAGTAAGTGATAGATCCTTTGATTAAAATAAACCACATTTATTTCATACTTTGAATGGTAGCAAATCTCTTGAAGTTGACAAACCTACATTTACAAATTTCAATTGTTTAATATCTCAAGTTGTCAGTTCAGTTACTTGTTCACTACGTTTTCCAGGGAGTTTAAACGTTGACCTATCAGAAATTCAAACAAATCTTGTCCCCTATCCAACAATACATTTTCTACTAGCATCTTATTCACCAGTGACATCAATTTCTAAACAATTTGATTAAGAAATAATTTCATTTCGATTAACAAGACACTGTTTTCGACATAACTCATGGTTACATGTAATCCAAGACTTGGTAAATATATGGCTTGCTATTTATTATATCGTGGAAATGTCAATATGAAGGAGATTAATAAGTCAATAATACATCTGGAAGCACAAAGTAGGGTCAAATTTGTTGACTGGTATCCAACAGGCTTTAAATTCAATACTAATATTCAACTACAATTTGTTATTCAATCTGGTGATTTGTCTAAAGTTTCAAGATCTGTATGTATGGTGAGTAGTTCAACAGCAGTTGCTGAAGCGTAGAGTCGTTTAAAATTTAAATTTGATTGTTTGTATGGTAAAAGATCATTTGTACATTGGTATGTGACTGAAGGTATGGAAGAGAATGAGTTCAATTAAACTTAAGATGATTTGATGGCATTAGAAAAAGATTATGAAGAATTTGGGATTAAAGCAACACAAGGCTAAGTGAGTTAGTATTCTTAATCCACGTATATTAAATAGACGATCACTTCTTTTCCTTTAAAATAGATTATTTCACATATGATATCCTACTTTCATGATAAACAGGTAAACAAGCTTTATATCTCACAATAATGGTGCTTATTTTTATATGAAGCCATTTCTTAAAATACCATTTTGGCTTTGGACTGCTTGTCAATCAACCCCGTGTTAGGGGGAAGACCTATCATGAAGTTGTGTCCATAATATGATAGTAGAATAAAACCAGAGTTGAACAACAAACCAACTTGGAAAATATAATAGTTCTAGTGTACATTTGATATCTAGACTATGAGAATTTGTTGTATATACTCGAGAAAATATGATAAATTCACCTTGTTGTAAAAACAGCACCTAAAATAGCTCCTACTTGGATGTTTAAAATTGTAATCAGAATAATATCAGCTCATATAACGAGGAAACTACTGAAAAATCTATAATCCCAGTTACGAATATGCAGCCTTAGATAAAATTACTCTTCCGTAAACGATAAAGAATATCTAGCTTGTCTAATGCTTTCCGTTTTGACAGGTGTCATGAACACGTTTAACCTACTGACTGATTAGGTAATTATAGCTAGACTTCCACTACATGAATTTACCTGTAAGTAGTATTTATCATGGCTTTTAGTTTTGAGTACTGATGTAAGTCAGTGGATGATGAAATACAGTACCACCATTGAACAAAGTACTGAAAAAAACATTGTTTCTTCACTTAACAGTTTGAAGATAGCTGGCGAAATGGTCTAAATTTTATTATCCCATTCCAAAATGCTAAGTAATGCTACTCGCCTGCACACTTTTTTAATATTCTAGACTAGAGTTATCAATGAAGGCATCTCAGCGGATGGGTTTCTTTAACCTGACTAACCAAATCATCTCTATAAACATTTAGTTTACACCAAATCTCCTCAGTGTGACAGCACAGTGATTCCTTAAATACACTGAATATTTCGTGAGGAATTAGTGATCAGATATCTATTGACTTCACATATATGTCATATTTAACGACCATGTAAGTAAGCTATGAATCAATGCACAAGTGATCGGAAAACACATTACATACATATGGCTAACACCAACTTAGATGAAAAACGTTATTTGTGACACAATCAACCGACTGGAAAGTTAAAGGTAACTGGATAAAACATCAATCTATATTAACTTCAAACATTATGTTATAATGCTGCGAACCAGCGCCCACCAGTTCGAATCTCACCACTGCCTAAACTTTCATTTCACCTTCAGTCATCTTCTAGGATCATTTAGACGTGTATGCATACTTCAGTGAGTCAATTGAAAAAACTATTGGACATTAAATACCATACAACTACCTTAAAACATTTTCAGCTCTTGACTTTAATGTGATGCACCATCACTATGCCTAATTCAGAAAGAAAGCAAATGGAAACCTTCACAGATGCTTCTATGATATAAAGATGTAAGGGGTGAACCTACAAAAGTGATGACAACATTTCTTAAATAAGAAAATTGGTTACTACTAAGCATATGTATACATATAAATAAAGATAGAACTATATATCTATACATATACGAAATTATTTTGAAGGCAAAGATACAATACAAAACAACAATAACATATTAACGACACCCATCGATTACGTATGAATAGAGAATCTGAAATCTGAAACATGAAAAGAGTTGAAATGTTACTCTCGTGATTAAAAATAACGAATAACAGTGTATCACTAGCCAGTAAGACCAATCAATTACTGAAATTTTGTAGCTGGTATTCATCATGAACTGACAACATTTGGGAGAACATAGGAAACCCCGAGAGCACTAGACAGCTATTTCGTCCGAGTATGGGACTACTCAGCAGTGCGCATCCACGACCTCGACAGGGGTCGAAGTCGCAGTTTTTAGGTTCCATGGCCAGCACGTCACCATTGAGCCACTGAGTCGGAATCCAGTTGTCCATATTTCCAACTTTTGTCAGTTCACCAGTGAGGTAAACCTGGTGTCAGTGAGGGTAACTACTCAACAATGACATATGGTGGCGGTTGCGCTATTTCATGAACTGACAAAAGTTTGAAATATGGACAACTTGATTCCGACTCAGTGGCTCAACAGTAACGTGCTGGCCACGGAACCTGAAGGTCGCGACTTCGGCCCCTGTCGAGGTCGTGGATGCACACTGCTGATTAGTCTCATACTAGGGTGAAACGGCTGTCCAGTGCTCCAAGGTTTCCAATGTTCTGTCAGCTGATGTCAGTCTATGATGAATACCAGCTGGAAAAATATCTAGATCCCCGCTAACCCTCAAATTTAATTACTGAAGTGTTGAAGAGTAGAGGAAAGAATTGTCTCGAACGAAAAAAGAAAGTTTCACATAATGCAATATTACCAAGATCATAGTAAAAAGAGAGACAGTATCTCTTCTGCAAGAGCTTCTGTCGTACTCAAGCAACAAAAGTGTACTCCTTTGGTGTCGTTTGATCTCGTTTTGGAAATAATTTAAAAGTGGATTGTAGTAAATCAGCATTGCGTGAGCTAACTGGACACTTAATTACCTACCTTTTAATATATTTGAGGCTGTTTTTTGATAACAGTGCGAGATAATGTTCAGAGGTATGTTCAGAGAATACAGGCTTATCGACGCAGATCTTTCTAAAGGTGGACGAAAATGAGTGAATAAGGTTTCATATTCTGCTCACTGGAGTCGAATACTGTAAATATATCAACTTTTGACAGATGGGTCTCTGAAGAAAACCGCATGATCTTTCGAATAAGAACCTGTGAAATAAAAATTTATCTCTGCCTTTGATTTTTATATAAACTTGGTCGATTAGTGGCAATCATCAAACTCTCCAACTAGGACTGCAAAGTCTGTATCTTTATCTCTTATTGTGAATGTGTCATCCATATATTTCTATTGAACTGATATCAGTTAGGGAACCATCGAAAACCTGGGAACACTAAATAGCTATTTCATCCTAGTTCAGGACTTCCCAGCAGTACACACCCATGACCCCTTCAGGAATTGAAAGCCTTTGTGTGTGCAGCCACCAAGTCAGAAGTAAAGAGTATGCTAACTGAAGACCTTGGCGGATAGTCGCCTTGCAATGCAAATCGACAGAAGTAGGTCACTGTGAACAATTGAGCTGCGATTCAGTGGGATGATTAACACATTTGCCGTAAAATCTTCAGTTTCTAAATCCGATTCCTTGCGTGGTCAAGGGTGCGCACTGCCGAGAAGTTCCTGACTAAGATGAAACAGGTTTCCGATGCTCTTAGTTAACTACAAAACTTTCTGCTAACAAGAGGTAAGAGATAAGTGATAACTAAACAACCACTCTAATCATTTTTCTGTAAGTGCATTATTGAATTTGAACTGAACATTGGAAGCGTTCTTTGGGAGTATTTCTTTCAAATACTGCTCTGGAATACCAGTGTCGAAACTATGTTCTTCAATGAAGCTCAACAAGAAATGAATGGTTTTAGTGAACAAAATTTTAATGATGGACCTTAGAATGTATAGAAAGCCTTTTTTTGATGGAATAACATTAATATAGGCATAAAACTTGGGCACTGTGGTGGTATGTAATTCTACGTATTTGTTTTTTTGCCTTATAACACACACTGATACAGTATTACTTAATAATGTTTAAAAAATAAATTATTCATTTACGAGGTAGAAAATGAACAAAGAGGATTATCTATGTTGGATTGCAGGATGGAACGAAGTACAAATTGTGGCTTGGATATTACCGTCTACAGAAAACCAACACATCCCTACAGGTATCTAGACTTCAAGTCAACTCATCCAATGTCAGTTATGGTAGGCTTAGTCAAATGTCTAAATGATAGACCCAGAAAAATGGCTAGTCATTGCAAAGACCTAAACAAGGAACTGAAGCATATAAAAGAAGCACTGCTAGTTAATAATTATCCTCTACAGTTAATTAAGAAATTCATGTGAACGCATAAGAAACGAAATAATAATAGAAGCACGAGTACAAAGAACAACAACAACACAAGTAGAAAGGAGTTCATAGCCTCCACTGTACTATCCAATCAGGAAGGAGCATCAGAAACTTTACGTAGGATTCTCAACAAGGTTAGAATTAGGGTAACATTCAAACCTACAAACTCATTCACAGATGAGGTTTGTCGACTGACTTAAGGATCCGATAGAACCAATCAAGCAAAAAATCTAGTGTATCAAATTCCATATAATGACTGTGAGGTCAAGTACATAGGTCAAACTAGCCGGTCGTGGTCACTCAGAATAGTGGAACATAAGAATTTATCTAAATATAAACTGACATATCCCAACAGAATCAACAATCTAGAGATAAAACTTAGCTATTGCAATTCATGCATCAACACAATCACACACTGTACTTAAGTCTAGTATAATTAGGTGGAGAGGAAGGGGGATTGATAACTGAATCTTTGTTCATCCAATCAATACCCAACACGTGTAAAATGAATGATGCAACACCCATACCAAAGATATGGAAAAATTTTACTAGGAATAAAAACAAATAATATGAGGTGACAAGACCATAAAAATCACATATCGAAAGTAGTGTGATAACACTGATGTGACTATGAGCGGTAATAATTTGTGCTCGAAAGGTCATCGAGTAAATAATACTGTATTTTGAGGGGGTTGTGGAGATTTGGAAATATTTCAAGTTGTTATTCATAGAAGGCTGACATCAGTTGGAGGAACAAAGGAAACCTGGGAGCACTGGACAGCTGTTTCGTCCTAGTATGGGACTCCTCAGCAGTGCGCTATATCGTGAGCTAACAGAAGTTGGAAATATGGAGCATTGGATTCTGACCCAGTGGCTCAATGGTAACGCGCTGGTCGCGGAGCCTGAAGGTCGCGGGTTCGATC